TCTCTCTCTCTCTCTCTCTCTCTCTCCCTCTCCCTCTCTCTCCCTCTCCCTCTCCCTCTCCCTCTCATGGATACCGCAAAAGTCAGCGTTCTACAGTGACTAGGGGGCGCCGGTGACCAGCGCAGCATGGCCTATGCAGCCACATGACTGAAATGCTTCTCCATAGAAGCAAAGGAAAACGGCATGGTGAAAATGTTCCTCCAAATTGTTGGCGGGGCCTGTTCCAGAGAGGAGCTGCCGCCTGCCAGCACAGTGACGCCTTCCCTTAGCTCAGCCCCTTGGCGACGTGGCGGGAGCACGGCCCGGCCAGGGTGGGTATTCTTCGCCCACGCGTGAAAGGGCCCGAGGAGAGGAAGGTGTGAGTGAAGCAGCCCGGGAGGGAGGGGTCTGAGCAGAGGGCGGGCGTGGCTGTGCCCCTCCCGGGCTCTGCTCCCTGGGTCCACCCTGGCTGGACTCCAGACAGCGCGGCTCAGGTGGGGTTGACGGCCTGAGCCTCTCGTCGCCTCTCTCCGGCTGGACCCGCAGCCCACAGGACTCTGCAGCGCGTTCCGGAAGCCGAGAGCCTTCCCTGCCAATGCTTCGCGCGTGTTCGCGGGGGTGAATTTGCACGTGTGTCACCTGAGAAGGCGGGAGAACTGCCAGTTGGGCGCAGAGGAGGCGGGTGCGGGGCAGGCCCTCCCTGGGGCCGCCTGGCAGTGGCCTCGGGATCCGTGACAGCTGCATGGTCAGCTGGGGGCACTGACGAGGAGCAGAGAGCTCGGCAGAGACTGCAGCACCTCATTCCCACGCGTGGGCCTTCTGGAACGCTCTTCTGAGCCCTCACTTCCTGAGGAAAGACTGGTCTGGCGTGGGATTTCACTCTCACAACCAGGCGGGGCGGCAGGCGCTCCGGAGAGGAGGAGTGGGGACCACAGGGAAGCTGGGCCGGCGCCAAGGAGACTGGGTCCCCGTCCGGAAATGACCCTGCCAACACCGCGTGTGCTGGGCTCCGGCTGCTTCCTCCAGACCCGGACGCCTGGTGCTAAGGTGTGTGAGGCCCTGACCAGCGAGGAACTTCCTCCTTCCTCACCCTCGTGGCTCCAGCCAGGAGGAAGCCTCGAATCCAAGACGGGCACAGAACAACACAGCTTGGCAGGACAGAGAGGCCTCCGGGCTCCAGAGAGCTGCATTCCCACTGCTCTGTGCATAGATGAGGCGGGCGCTGGCTGGAGAGAGCCCTGCAGGGCAGAAGAGGTGCTGCCTGGCCCCCGACCTCTGCAGATGACAGAATCCCAGTGGTGACGCACACAGGGAGGCTCCGCTCCGTTTTGTCATTTTAATTTAGAAACAGTGCTCCGGGCACCCTGCCCTCCTGCTCTGCCAAGGCAGCTGCTGAGGACTTAGCAGGAATCTCCACACCGGTGGGCTCTCGGCCCTGTGTGGCCGACTGAGCCTGTGGCTGTGTGTGGTCGGCTTCACAGGGCACCGGGTGCTGTCCGCGCTCCTGCAGGAAGCTGAGGCCTCCAGCGGCTGCCATACAGCTGCAGCCAGTGCCCGGACTCCGCCTCCAGAGCCCCTGCTAGGCTCCTCTCGCTCGCTCCACCTGGAACCCTCTGTCTGCGCCGGGGGGCGTCCAGGTCCCGGAGTCTCACCACCTGACATCCACGACGTTTCTCTTTGTTCTATTCTTTGTGCAACCGTTATCACATTCTTTTTAAACAACAGCATCACTAATGTATTCGTTAAGTTTTGAGACTAATACTCGTATTGATGTTCACAGCAATTTCTTCCCAGAATGAAATGAGGGACAGATCGGTGACTTCTATGGGTTCTGGGTAGACGGTGCCGGGTCTCAGGTCCATTCTGAGAATCCACCAGACCTCTGCACCCTTGCCCACCCCCAGGTCTACTCCAGCCGTGCAGGGCCGGGGGTCCTCCCGGGCCCCAGCTGTGCCCACAGGGCCCCGTTTGCTCTGTGCCTCCTGAGCGCGTGGGCCAGGGAGCCCTGCCTGGGGGCTGCACTTCCTGTCCCTGAGGCCCCTCTTGCTCCCCCCTCCCCTCTCCTGCAGCTCCTGGACTGCTTCGTGATCCCGGTGGTGATCCTGCTCTCCTGGTTCTTCCTGCTCGTCCGGTACAAGGCCGTGCACTTCCTGGGCATTGTGGTCTGCATCCTGGGCATGGGCTGCATGGTGGGCGCCGATGTGCTGGTGGGCAGACATCAGGGAGCAGGTGAGTAGGTTGCTGGGTCTCCCCGGTGGGCGAGGCCCAGTGGGGAGCGGATGTCAGGGAAGGTACAGAAGGGCCAAAGCCATCTGCAGGCTGTGCTCTGCTCGTTTGTTCTGCACCAGAAATGGTGGCACAACCAGGCCTGCCGTATGTTCCTTGGGTGCATGGAGGATGCGAAATCTGGCTCTGGTGCCCTTGCTGCGGGACTTCACAAGGTGCTGGCCTCATCTGCTCCAGAGCATCGAGGCCCCTGGAGAGACTGGTTCGGGCCTGCGGGGTGTGTGACACCAGGAGGCCGGATTGGGAATGCTCAGTATCTCAAGAGAGAGCTCAGCTCAGCCCCTTATGCACAGCTTCTGTGTGTTTGTTGTGGGCAGAGGCTGCTGGTACCACCGAGCGCGTGCGCGAAGGAACGCATGGGGAAGCCCCACACCTGGCTTGGAGCCCTGCAGTGGGGCTGGGGGGCCCTGGCCCAACGGCTCCCAGAGGGCCCTCCTGAAACCACTGCAGTGCTTTACAATGGACCCAAATCCCTGTGCTGCAGGACTTTCTGATCAGAAAAAAATGACCCCCTTTGGTAACCCTGGGGTAGAAGAGAAAGCATCACTTTTCTATAGCTCTTGGAATTGCTTTTTCTGCTAGGAAATTAGATAATAAAGGGTCAGAATTGGGACGTTTCACTTTATGAGCCAGGTTATGTGAAGCCTCTGATAGGATGCCATTTGTGTTGCACCAAGAACTTCACAGCTGACAGAGCTTCACTTAGCCCCTTTCTATGTGACGCTCGAGAACCCCAAGATCCAGCCAGCCAAGCAAGTTGTCCAGGGTTGCAGAGGTGAGAGGCACAGGGTCCCAGCCCCCAAGCTCCTGATCCCAGGCAGCCACCAGGAGCTCTCATCCACATGCTGGGAGCGGAAGATGCAACACAGGGCAGAAGACAGCCTCCCCTTCCAGACCACCCCACCCCGACAAAGGGGTGGAAAACACACCTGCAGCGCCTCCTGAGATGGAGCTCTTGCGTGAGGACGGTGGGCTCCCTGGTGTGAGCACGGCTGTCACAGGACAGGGCCAGTGTCACACTCTGTGTGGGAGTCAGCAGATGCGGGATGGACAACCTCTTTGGAGCGAATCAGAGGGCACTTTTGTCTGGTGCAGTGTGGCCAGCTGTTCCAAATCGCAGCTTGATTACCCCTCCCCAAGCCTCTGCCTGAGTGGAAACATCACCCTTAGAAGGGTCCCACAGCCAGGGAGCACAGCACCCCTGACAGATCTGAGTGTGTAAGCCTGGATGCTCAGTGAACTTCAGTTGATTCACTAGGTTTTTGTTTTTTTTCAAAATTTATTATTTATTTTTTAATAACAAAAAATTTATTGGTACATTTTAGGACTACATAATGATAACACTCTCCGTAGGGAATCTGCACTGGTACATGGTACCTCCCACCTCTTTTTTCCCATTCCACCTCCCCTCTAGCCCCCTCCCCTTCCTATGTACAAAGCTTTGTTTCCATTTTTTCCTTCTATTTTCACCTTTTCTTTCTTGTCCTTTCCTTCCTTTCTCCCTCCCTCCTCCCTTGTTCCCATTCCCATTTGAACATTTTCTTCCCATTTCCCAATGTCTGTTATACATTTTAGTCCTAATTTCCACTTTTGGTTTCTCACACCAGAGAAACACTGTGGTATTTAAACATGTGTGTCTAATTTATTTCACTTAAGAGTATGGTCTCAAGGTTCATCCATTTAGCTATAAATGTCTAAGTTAATCCTTCTTCATGGCATAGTACTCCATTGTATAAAAAAACCACATCTTTATTAATTTGTCAGTTGATGGGCATTTGGGCTGTTTCCAAGAATCAGCTAATACAAATTGTGCCACTATAAACATGGGTGCACATATATCACTGTGCTATGATGCTTTTAATTCTTTCGGGAAGATACCAAGAAGAATAACTGGGTGGGCTGGCAATTTAGCTCAGTGGTGCTGCCGCCTCCCTCGAAAATGCAAGGTCCAGAGTTTGATCCCCAGTACCAAAAA